TTGGCAGGATGGCCATTTTGATGATGTTAATTCTCCCGATCCATGAGCAGGGGATGTCTTTCCATTTCATGGTATCTTCTTGTATTTCTTTTAAGAATGTTTTGTAATTTTCTTTGTAGAGGTCTTTTACCTCTTTTGTTAGGTTAACTCCCAGGTATTTGATTCTTTTTGTTTTAATTGAAAAGGGGATGGTTTTTTTTTTATTTTTTTATTTCTGCTGCTTCTGATTGGTTGTTTGTGTATAGGAAAGCCGCTTCTGCTTGGTTGTTTGTGTATAGGAAAGCCTCTGACTTTTGTGTGTTGATTTTATATCCTGCTACTTTGCTAAACTGGTAGGTGTTTTTGATTAGTTCCTCTGTGGAGTTCTTAGGGTTTTCCATGTAAATTAACATATCATCTGCAAATAAGGATAGTTTCACTTCTTTCCCTATTTGGATTTCTTGTATGCTTTTTTCCTGTCTTATTGCTCTGGCTAGAACTTCCAATGTTATGGTGAATAGCAGTGGCGATAGTGGACACCCTTGTCTTGTTCCTGATCTCAAAGGAAAGGCTTTCAGCTTTTCTCCATTGAGGATAATATTGGCTGTGGGTTTATCATGTTGAGGTATGTTCCTTCTATTCTGAGGATTTCAAGGGCTTTAAACATAAGTGGGTGCTGAACTTTGTCAAAAGCCTTTTCCACATCTATTAATTTGATTATGTGGTTTTTATTCTTCTGCCAGTTGATGTGATGGATAATATTAATTGATTTTTTGATGTTGAACCATCCTTGTGCTCCTGGGATAAAGCCCACTTGGTCATGGTGTATTATTCTTTTAATGCATTGTTGGATTCTGTTAGCTAAGGTTTTGTTGAGGATTTTTGCATCGGTGTTCATTAGGGAGATTGGTCTGAAGTTTTCTTTTTTGTGTTAGGTTTGGTAATAGTGTGATGTTGGCTTCGTGATAGTGTTTGTGGTAGTGTTTCCTTCTTTTTCAATTTTTTTGGACAAGTCTGTGTAGAATAGGCACTAGTTCTTTTCTGAATGTTTGGTAAAATTCATTTGTAAATCCATCTGGTCCTGGACTTTTGTTTTTGGGGAGGGTTTTGATTACTTCTTCTATTTCCTTGCTTGTAATTGGCCTGTTTCGTTGTTCTATTTCTTCTTTATCTAGCTTTGGGTAGTTGTAGAGTTGTAGGAATTTGGCCATTTCTGTTAAATTGTCCAATTTGTTTGCATATAGTTGCATATTATTTTGATTTCTGCTGGGTCTGTTGTGATTTATCCTCTTTTGTTTATGATTCTGTTTATTTGTGCTTTCTCTTGTTTTTTCTTTGTGAGCCTGGCTAGTGGCGTGTCTATCTTGCTTATTTTTTCAAAGAACCAACTTTTGGTTTCATAGATTTTTTGGACTGTTTTCCTGACTTCCATTTCATTTATTTCTGATTTGACTTTTATTATTTATTGTCTTCTGCTGGATTTTGGGTTATTTTGTTGTTCTTTTTCCAGTTCTTTAAGGTGGGACATTAGGTTGTTTCTTTGAGTTATTTCTTCTTTCTTTATGTGAGCTTGTATTGGTATATATGTTCCTCATATAACTGCTTTTAATGTGTCCCATATGTTTTGGAGACTTGTGTCATCACTGTCATTCTTCTCCAAGTATTTTCTAATTTCTTCTTTGATCTCCTCATTGATCCAGTGGTCTTCCAGTAGTGTGGATTTTAGTCTCCATGTGATAGCTGGGTTTCTTGCCTTCTTCATATGTTTTATTTCTAGTTTGATTCCTTCATGGTTGGAGAAAATAGTTGGTATGATTTCGATCTTAGTGTATCTATTGATGTTTATCTTGTGAC